TCACCTGCGGGCGCCCACGCACTCCTGCGCATGCGAGTCTCTAACGTGCCGACGAAGAAAAGGCCATGGCATGAGAACTGGCAGGCATGTGTTAGCATGCGGCCGGGGAGGAGCGTCTCGATAGCGGAAGCGAATACGAGTGGAGCCACGCACACGTCCAGCCTTCCTGCGGGGCCGCAGGATGAGCACGCTTGCCACCACCAACCTGACACAAGGTCGCAAACCTGATTGCGGCACAGTTGCTGGCTCGCGTTCCGAGCTGGGCCCAGCACGTGGTGGGAACGAGGCACTGGGCTCGAGTTGCGGGGGCGAGATCGCTGGCATTTCACATTGACCAACATTCGGATACTCCCCATGACCGACGTTGGCGCCGGCGCATAACCACGTCCATGGGACAGCGGCGGCACAAGACTGCAGCGCTGACCACGGCGGCCAATCGTCTTCCACGACTGGTGTTAATCCCATGGAGGCTAGTCGGGCAATGGCATCTGCAAGCTCATTCAGTGGGTCTGCATTGTCCCAGGACGTGTTTCCTAGATAGCGATACGCATCGTCTCAATAACTTGAGGGCCTCGTCGAAGAGCTCGGGAGGGGGGGGTCAACAGGAACTGTATATGGTTCCGCCCTCAGCCGAATTGACCACGCGTAGGTTATCTGTGTAGACCACCAGTGGTCGCGAGCGGAAACACTCAGGCGCTTGCAGTAGCCATAGAAAAGGCCACAGGGCAGCTTGAAATTCGGCGGCACCAGAGACACTGGCAACTGCATCGGAGAGAGTAGGATCTATCCCACATAGGTACCCATGTCATACATAGCGTTCGTTACGCGTAACTGAAAATAGCCCCCATGCCCAAGGCGGCGATCCACCTGCATCCTTGGAACGGGAACCTCCAGAGCCATCCGTGCGAATCTCGAACCTGACAGGCTGAAAATCCTCGGGAAGGGGGGGGGGGCCGTGGGTTTCGAAAACTTGACCGCGCCACTGCGAAGGCAAGGTTGAACATACAATGCTCTGGGCCCTGATGAGGTTCAAGGAAGAGTGGAGTGAGAGTGCGACTGCTAGGCCAGGGCTGTCAAAGACGCCTGACCAGAGAGCCGCAGTCTGGCAAAGAACAGCTAAGGCATCTAGGCCCAAAGGCACTCTGAGCAAAGGGTGGCACATTCGCGTCGGCTGCGCTGTCAGCCTCGGGCAAGCTGTGAGATAGCGCTGGCACCTCACCCACCTCAGCTTGCCCGTCGCGAATCATCACCCTAACGTCGACGGTGCCGATGCATCATCCGTGGACTCGCAAGCTTCGCCTCCACCGACCACCTCGAAGCCGCCAGGCCTCCTCGGGCTGCGGTCGCGGCCGTGCCTGGCGCGCCTGGCGGCCGCCGCAGCCGCGTCGCCACCGACTTCCTCTGCGACGCGAGCGCGGCCTGCTGGCTCAGAGGGCTCGGCGCCGCGACCGCGGTGGCTGACCGCCTGCTAGCGGGCGAGGGCCTCTGCGAGGCGAGGCTGCCCGGCAGGACGGCGCGCACGGCCCTGCCCTTCTCGGCCCGCCGAGCCTCAGCAGCGCGTCTGCGCAGCTCCTCCGCAGCAGGGTCACCAGCACCTGCGGGAACTCCATGAGCTGGAGCACCTTCAGCCGCAGTCGCCTCTGCGCCGACGGGCACTCCTGCGGCGGCGGGGGCGGCTGCCGCCTGCTCGGGCGAGCCGCTGCGGCTGGCCTGCGAAGGGCAGCGGCGCCCCGCCCGCGGCGGCCGCAGGCGGCGCAGGGGTCGCGCGTGCAGACGTCATTGCCAACTGCAGCGTCGCCAGCATCGCCGTCAGGGACGAGACCTGCTGTGTCAGGGCGGCCTGTCCGCTCTGCAGCTCGGCGATGGCAGCCAGCTGCGGCTGCAGCTGGGGGGCCCCCTGCGGCGTCCCTGGCGCCGTCGGAGTCGCAGTGCCACCATCTGCTGGTGGCGTCGGCGGCGCACTGCTGCCCATGCCGACGTCGTGAGACGTGCTGGGTGGTGGCCGCACCTTCTCTAGCTGGTCCAGCAGCACCTGTGCACGGGCAAGCTCACGCTCTCGTTGAGAGCACTTGCTGTCGGTCTCTTCGTAATGGATGCGGGCCATGTCGCGAGCATCCTTGGCTTTGTCCAGCTTCGTCTGGGCGCGCTGGACATACGCCTTTTGTCGGTCACACCGATCACCTGGGGCCTTCGCAATGATGATCATGCACAGCTGAACCGCATACTCGAGCTTCTGAAGGGGCCAGCCGCGCCTCGTCCATGCCGAGGGTGGTCGCAGCCTGGAGTATGCGGCCCGTCGCCGCCGCCATCTCTCGCAGCGTTTTGCGGTAGGCGGCAAGCTCGCGGTCGCCCGCGTCGGACGGCGGCTCGACCCACGAGAGGTGAGCATGCGCGTCCCGGGGCAGCGCGGGAAGGACGCCGAAGGCGGGCTGCCTGAGGTCGTCGTCGCCGTCAGACGCCGTCGGCTCGCCGTCGGGCTCGTCCTCGAAGCGAACTCGCG